TTGTTTGCCTCGATTGCTGGAGGCCACTCGAGTGCAGCAGCAGAGATTTCCTGGGGGCCCAGACACCTCCTGGTGCCAAATGGGGTGTGGGGACAGCACCCCGGGCTTGGGACCCTCCTGCAGGAGGGGAAGGGGCTCTCCTTGGGCTGGGAGCTGGTTTGGGGCTCTGGGTGGGATGGGAGCTGGTTTTGGGGGCTCTGGTTGGGATGGGATCTGGTTTTGGGGCTCTGTTTGGGCTGGGAGCTGTTTTGGGGGCTCTGGTTTGGGTGGGAACTGGTTTTGGGGGCTCTGCTTGGGCTGGGAGCTGTTTTTGGGGCTCTGTTTGGGCTGGGAGCTGTTTTTGGGGCTCTGGTTTGGGTGGCAGCTGTTTTCGGGGTGGGGTGTTCCCTCCACACGGGGATCCCACGGGGCTGTGGGGACGGGGTCCTGCAGCAGGGACAGCTCGGGGTGGGGACACCTGCAGCAGGTGCAGCAAGCTGTGGCAGATGTGCTGCCTGTGCAGGGTTTATGGGGGTGCTCGGGGGGTCTTTGGGGTGGGGATGGCTCAGGGAGCAGTGAGGAGTGGGAGACACTGGGACATGTGGGGACATTGGGACTGCAGAGGTCTGGGGACAGGGAAAGCAGAGATTTGGGGACATTGGGACAGCAGAGTCTGGGGGGATTGGGAGAGGAGAGATGTGGGGATGGGGACAGCAGAGAATTGGGGACATTGGGATTGCAGAGATCTGGGGACATTGGGGTTGCAGAAATTTGGGGACATGGGGGCAGCAGAGATCTGGGGATTGGGATAGCAGAAATTTGGGGACATGGGAAAAGCAGAGATCTGGGGATTGGGATTGCAGAAATTTGGGCACTGGGATTGCAGAGATCTGGGGACATTGGGGCAACAGAGGTCTGGGGTTTGGGACAGCAGAGATCTGGGGACATGGGGACAGCAGAGAATTGGGGACGTTGGGACAGCAGAGATCTGGGGGCATTGGGATAGCAGAAATTTGGGGACATGGGAAAAGCAGAGATCTGGGGATTGGGATTGCAGAAATTTGGGCACTGGGATTGCAGAGATCTGGGGACACTGGGGCAGCAGAGAATTGGGGACATTGGGAGAGGAGAGATCTGGGGACATGGGGACAGCAGAGATCTGGGGGTTGGGATAGCAGAAATTTGGGCACTGGGCTTGCAGAGATCTGGGGATTGGGACAGCAGAGATCTGGGGGTTGGGATAGCAGAAATTTGGGCACTGGGATTGCAGAGATCTGGGGACACTGGGGCAGCAGAGAATTGGGGACATTGGGACAAGAGAGATCTGGGGACATGGGGACAGCAGAGATCTGCTGTCCCTGCTCCTCGGGGGCTCCGGAGGGGGACAGGATGCCCAGTGCCTGGTGGGGGAAGGGTGGGATGTCACATGCCTGGAGCTGTGGCGAGGCAGGAGCAAAGGGCACTTCCCTGGGATCCACATCCCAGCCGAGGTCGGTCACAGCAGCCTCCGCCTCCCCGCGAGCTGACGTGCAATTAATTAATTAGCAGTGTCCCCACAGCCTGATCAGCACGGCCAAACCCACAGCCTGATGTCCCAGGGCTTGGCAGAGGGACAGACCCTCCCATCCCTTCCCCAGGGGACACCAGCACCGCAGAAATCCCTTTTTTTTTTTTGGCTGTTCCCTTTTTTTTTGGCCGTTCCCTTTTTGTTTTTTTGGCTGTCCCCTGCTGCCAGCGAGGTTAAAGCAGTGCAGCCCCGTGGCCCTGGTGGCACTGCCCGCCTGCAAGCCACGTGTCAAGGGCACAGAGAAGCAGGCCTTGGGGACATGGTGGCACATGCCTGGGTCTGGTTTTCTTTTTTTTAATTTTTTTTTTTTTTTTTTTTGCCTGCGTCAAGCGAGCGGATTCCATTTTAATGTCACGCCCGTGCTGTGCGGTGGTGGGACATTCCTCCCAGCGTTGCCATGTGAGGCCAGGCCGGTGTTTGGCTGCCCTTAAAGAGCTTTATCAGTTCCTGAAGTCACTTTGCAAACAGCGGCAGCCAAGGAGCCGGGGAGGGGGGTGAGGGGCAGCCAGGAGGAGGAGGAGGAGGAGGGGGGAGAGGAGGGAGGAAAAGCCAAGCAGGAAGAAAAAGCGCTTTGTTAATTTTAACGGGGTGTGTTACGTTCCTCCTTCATCTGGCAGATATGCCACACTCGGCGATGACAAGCTTTATGGAGCCCCCGGCCACCCCGAGCCCCCCCAGGCTCGTTAAGCCCCCCCTGGCCGGCAAAGCCCGGCTTTGCAGCCCTGCCAGGCCGGGCTGAAGCGCGGCTCTGTTTCCATCACGGAAAAGCCTCCGGGCGCATATTTTTGTAATTATGCTCTTTCTGCTCAGCAGTTTTTGCAGCTGTGATGACACTTGGGTGTCGCCCCCTGGTTTCTCACGCTCTCCCTGCCAAGGCTGGGCCGCCGGCCAGCGGCCGAGGTCACCCGGTGGCCCCGGTGGCCCCCGCGCCGCCCGCACGCGCTCGGGGACGGCGCTTGGCCGCCGGCGGCGGTGGCAGCGGGCCAGGGGTCCTCCCCACGGCCACTCCAGGCGGGATGGAAGGCTGGAACGGCGAGATCCGGGAGCAGGGATGGGGCTGCGTCCCTCCCAGGTCACAGGAAGGGGCCACAGCGGCCGCTCTGCTCCCGGCTGCCGGCCCCAGCACGTGGCCGGAGGGTTCTGGAACGTCTCCAGCCGGGGAGGCGCCGCGCCCTGCTCCGGCTGCCTGGCGCGGAGCTCACCATGAGCTGCTTCCTCAGCGTCAGGTGGAGCTTCCCGTGCGGCCGGCTCTGCCTGCTGCCGCTCTGCCAAGGGCACCAGCGAGCAGAGCCTGGATGGGTCCCTGCAGGGCCTGGATCCATCCATCCCCATCCATTCCATCCCTGCAGGGCCTGGATCCATCCATTCCCATCCATCCCCATCCCTGCAGGGTCTGGATCCATCCATCCCCATCCATCCCCTCCTGCAGGGCCTGGATCCATCCATTCCATCCCTGCAGGGCCTGGATCCATCCATTCCATCCCTGCAGGGCCTGGATCCATCCATCCCCATCCCTGCAGGGCCTGGATCCATCCATCCCCATCCCTGCAGGGCCTGGATCCATCCATCCCCCTCCTGCAGGGCCTGGATCCATCCATCCATCCCCTTCCCTGCTGATTCTGATCCCATCCCCTCCATCCCCATCCCTGCAGGTCCCGATCCCATCCCTTCCCTCTCTCCCTCCTCACAGCCATGGATAAGTCATGATGCTCCCATCCCTCCAGCCAAGAGGAACTTTCCCCTTTCCTCTTTCCCCTTTTCCTTTTCTGCTTCCCCTTCCCCCTCCCCCTTTTCCTGTTCCCCTTTCCCCTTCCCCCTTCCTTTCCCCTTCCCTCTTTCCCCTTCCCTATTCCCTTTCCTCCTTTCCCCTTCCCCCTTTCCCCTTCCCTATTCCCTTTCCTCCTTTCCCCTTCCCTATTCCCTTTCCTCCTTTCCCCTTCCCCCTTCCCTTTCCTCCTTTCCCCTTCCCTATTCCCTTTCCTCCTTTCCCCTTCCCCCTTTCCCCTTCCCTATTCCCTTTCCTCCTTTCCCCTTCCCCCTTTCCCCTTCCCTATTCCCTTTCCTCCTTTCCCCTTCCCTATTCCCTTTCCTCCTTTCCCCTTCCCTATTCCCTTTCCTCCTTTCCCCTTCCCTATTCCCTTTCCTCCTTTCCCCTTCCCCCTTTCCCCTTCCCTATTCCCTTTCCTCCTTTCCCCTTCCCTATTCCCTTTCCTCCTTTCCCCTTCCCTATTCCCTTTCCTCCTTTCCCCTTCCCTATTCCCTTTCCTCCTTTCCCCTTCCCCCTTTCCCCTTCCCTATTCCCTTTCCTCCTTTCCCCTTCCCTATTCCCTTTCCTCCTTTCCCCTTCCCTATTCCCTTTCCTCCTTTCCCCTTCCCTATTCCCTTTCCTCCTTTCCCCTTCCCCCTTTCCCCTTCCCTATTCCCTTTCCTCCTTTCCCCTTCCCTATTCCCTTTCCTCCTTTCCCCTTCCCTATTCCCTTTCCTCCTTTCCCCTTCCCTATTCCCTTTCCTCCTTTCCCCTTCCCCCTTTCCCCTTCCCTATTCCCTTTCCTCCTTTCCCCTTCCCTATTCCCTTTCCTCCTTTCCCCTTCCCTATTCCCTTTCCTCCTTTCCCCTTCCCTATTCCCTTTCCTCCTTTCCCCTTCCCCCTTTCCCCTTCCCTATTCCCTTTCCTCCTTTCCCCTTCCCTATTCCCTTTCCTCCTTTCCCCTTCCCTATTCCCTTTCCTCCTTTCCCCTTCCCTATTCCCTTTCCTCCTTTCCCCTTCCCCCTTTCCCCTTCCCTATTCCCTTTCCTCCTTTCCCCTTCCCTATTCCCTTTCCTCCTTTCCCCTTCCCTATTCCCTTTCCTCCTTTCCCCTTCCCTATTCCCTTTCCTCCTTTCCCCTTCCCCCTTTCCCCTTCCCTATTCCCTTTCCTCCTTTCCCCTTCCCTATTCCCTTTCCTCCTTTCCCCTTCCCTATTCCCTTTCCTCCTTTCCCCTTCCCTATTCCCTTTCCTCCTTTCCCCTTCCCCCTTTCCCCTTCCCTATTCCCTTTTAGGGGGAGAGGGGATCTTTAGTGGGGGGTCTGCAGTGGGATTTTTAGGGAGGGGGGGATCTACAGGGAGAGGGGGGATCTGTAGGGGGGATCTGCAGGGGGATCTTTAGGGAGAGGGGGGTCTGCAGAGAGAGGGGGGTCTCCAGTGGAATCTTTTGGGAGAGGGGGGGTCTGCAGGAGCCTGACCCCACTGCCCCTCCCTCCCTGAGCCCCGCCGTGCCCCTGAGCAGGGGCATTTCCAGCCCTAGGGAAGGGTTCTGCCCCCAAAACTCGGCCTCTCTTGAACATCAGCCACTGCAAGGGAGCAAATTCCCTCCCTGCCTCAGTTTCCCCTTCCCCTGATTTATGGGCTGGGGTTCCTGGGAGGAGGAGCAGCTCCTTTGCCCTTCCCAGATGTTTTTGCAGTCGGAGCCTGGAGGAAAATGAACATTTATTGGCCGTAAAGCACTCGGGGAATTTGCACCGCTGATTTCTTGGAGTGAAGATGCTCAGCACTGGCATTTCCCATTCCCTAAAAAAAAATAAAGGAAAAAAGGGATCATAAAGAGCAATGTGGGAATTTCAGGCTGAAGGGATTGGAGAGGAGAGGAGGCTCCGAGGTGACCTCGTGGTGGCCTTCCAGGACCTGAAGGATGGAGTGGCAGGAGAAGAGGGAACGCTCCCAGTAAAATAACGGATCTGCAGATGGGATATTGGGAAGGAATCGCTCCCAGGGAGGGCTGGGATGGGATTCCCAGAGCAGCTGGGGCTGCGCCTGGATCCCTGGCAGTGCCCAAGGCCTGGCACAGCGGGAGGTGTCCCTGCCACCTCTCTTGAAATCCCCTCCAGCCCAAAGCACGGCAGCAGTTTGTGGTGCAGATCCCCAGGAAAACGTGCAGGGATCCAAGCTCTGATCCGTCCGTTTCTGGAAAAGGAGGGCCAGAGTCTCCATCTCTCCAGTGCCAAGTGGATTTCCTGCAGAAATGGGAATCCTGGAATGGTTTGGGCTGGAAGGGACCTCAAAGGTCATTTAATTACATTTAATTTAGCGAAATCAATGCACTTAAGCATCAATTAAGTAGGAAAATCCAGGTTTTCTTTCCACAGGGAGCTTTCCCTCTGGTGCCACTTGCAGATTGAGCAGCCAGACCCACCAAAATCCCCCTCTGGAATCACAAAAGATCCTCTCTGGACACCAGGTTATTTTGCATGACCACTAAAGCTTTTTTCTTTATAATAGAAATATATAAAAAGAATATATTCATTTATATATATATACAAATTATAGAAATATTAAAATATTTTAGATATAAAAAGATACATTATATAATATATTTTATATTAAATTAGTAATATATTTGTTAATGTATTAAGATATTAATATATTATGATATATATTTATATAAATATATTTTTATTTATTTATTTAAATATTTAAATATATATATATTAATTTTTTTTTTTTTAAGAATATAAGTTCCAACTCCAAGCTGATTTTTCTGCTGACTCCAGGAGCTGAAACCTGGATGAAAACCACTCCAGGATGGGAAAAGCTCTGCAGAAATGAGGCTCAGCAGCAGCAGGCTCGCCCTGAAAACTCAATCTTCCCCAGATCAGGGACAGGGCAGGAGCCAGCAGCTCTGAAGGAGCTCACCAAAGTGCTCTCATTTATTCTTATTACCAAGCCTTGCATGCCAGCTTCCCTGGAAAGCTCTTCTGGAAAAATATCCAGAAGGAAATTAGATTTTAAAAAAAAAAAAAAAAAAGTCAATCAGAGCCTCCCTCTCCCCCAACAATTCACAAATCAGCTGGCTCAGACCCAGCTCATTTCTGGCTGGGATTTATGGGTGAGGGGCTGGGCTGGTTCCTCATTTCCCAGGTGGAATTCACTCTGGAGACTTCCTGGAGCTCAGGGTTGGTGCTGGCCTGTGGCACCAGGGATTTCCCCCTGACTTTTGGGGTGTTCCACTGGATATTTTCTCTCTCTGAGTTTTGGGGTGTTCACTGAATATTTCCTCTCCCTCGGTTTTGGGGTGTTCCACTGGATAATTTTCTCTCTCTCAGTTTTGGGGTGTTCCACTGGATATTTTCCCTCCATGAGTTTTCGGGTGTTAGCTGGATATTTTCAAACCTCCCTCAGTTTTGGGGTGTTCCACTGGATATTTTCTCTGTCTTGAGTTTTGGGGTGTTCACTGGATATTTTCCCTCCCATATTTTTGGGGTGTTCCATGGGATATTTTGCCTCCCTCAGTTTTGGGGTGTTCCACTGGATGTTTCCCTCCAGTGCTGGGGTGTTCCCCTCCCTGAGTTTTGGGGTGTTCCACTGGCTATTTCCCTCAGTTTTGGGGTGTTCACTGGATGTTTTCCCTCAGTTTTGGGGTGTTCCACGGGATATTTTCCCTCCCTGAGTTTTGGGGTGTTCCACTGGCTATTTCCCTCAGTTTTGGGGTGTTCACTGGATGCTTTCCCTCCCTCAGTTTCGGGGTGTTCCACGGGATATTTTTCCCCTTTTCAGTCACCCCCCAGCCCTGGCTGGCTCCATCCCTGTTCCAGCAGCTCCAGAGGACTCCCAGCACAGTTAATTTGGCTTTTCCATGAATATTTTAGTCCAAAGGCTTCAGCTGGAGCTGGGAGCAGAGCCTCTGGTCTGGCCTTGGACTCGAGGCCATGCTCAGGGAATGCTGCAATTAAAACTCCTCTGTCTTTAACGAACCTCTCCCTAATTTGACCCCTCCGTGCTCAGCCATTCCCAGGAATATTCCCAGAAAATCTGACCCAGCAGAAGCAGGAATGTCACAGCACTCACCGCGGAACAAGCAGCAGAATGTGATTTTTTTTTTTTCCTAATTTTTCCCCCTGAGAATATTCTCGGGGCAGCTTCATTTTCCCTGCCGGGACGAGTGGCAATACCAGGGATGAGAATTCCAGAATTCCAGAGCCACCATGCCAGGTTTAATGATCCTCCCTGCAGGAACGGCGGCTGCGGGCAGAGCTTTGGGATCAGCTCCGGCTCTTCCTCCCTCCCCCTTTTCGGGGTTGCTCAATATTCCCCGGTGATTTTCCCCCTGGCTGGTGCCGCTGTTATAAATAGGCTGCTCATGCATTTATTATCTGCTCCTTTGGAGGCACAGTGTGACACAGCCCTGCCTCTTCCCGGCCCAGAATGCTTCTCCAAACTCCCAATAAATCAGGAATTGCTCCTTGTCGAAAAAGGGGGTGAACGGTGAGAAATCCACGTTTAGAAAGAACTTGCAGATCTCCCCGTCCCAAACAGCTCCAGAGCAGGGACAGGACTCAGAGAACTGCCAGGGACAATTTGGGAAAGGGACAGAGAAGTCCTGGAGCGTTTTTATGGTGCCAATGTTCATGGGGTGTCTCTACTCATGTTTTGGGGCTTCCTTCCTTTGGTTTTTATTTTTATTTTTCTCCTGCCCTTTAAATTTTTTTGTCTTCACCAATTTTTATTTATTTATTTTATTTATAATTTATAATGTTTATAATTTATATTTTATATATTATGTTACATTAGGTTGCATTATATTATATTATATTGTGTTGTATTATGTTATATTTTTATTATATTCTTATTATATTCTTATTATATTCATATGTTATATTATATTATATTCTTGTTATATTAATATATTATATTAATATATTATATTATATTATATTATATTATATTATATTATATTATATTATATTATATTATATTATATTATATTATATTATATTATATTATATTATATTATATTATATTATATTATATTATATTATATTATATTATATTATATTATATTATATTAATCCCACTGATCCCATCCCACTGATCCCATCCCACTGATCCCATCCCACTGATCCCATCCCATCCCACTGATCCCATCCCATCCCATCCCATCCCATCCCATCCCATCCCAAATCTCCCAATGACCTTTCCCAGGCTGGGAGGGCTCCCTTTGCTCCCCAGGCTCTCCCTCCATCCCCGAGCTCACAAATATTACAAACATTTCAAACAATAAACACTTTTAATAACTCTGCCCCACCACAGAGTCCATTCTGCTCCACTAAACGACTCTGACAGGACTTTTTCCCCTTTTTCCCTTTTTCCCCTGCCCTGCTTCCCTTCTCCTGCCCCGATTCCAGGAGCTCCAGAGGGAAAGGAGCCAGGCACAATGGCCTCACTCCTCTTTTGTTTCAGCCTTGATTTACCCCCTCCGTTTTAAAGACCCTCCTGAATAATTCAGTGTTATCACTCAGGATCACGCTGGATTATTACAAGGCTTCCTTCCCTCCCATCCTCCCCCCTCCTCCTCTTCCTCCTCCCCCCCCCTTCCCATAACCTTTAAATTCCTTTCACACGTGAATGGGTTCAAAGGAAGTCGCGGAAGGCAAACACACAACGAGGAGGTTGCTGCTCTGCCCCTCCGCTGTCAGCTTGATAAATATAATGTGTCACCAATTAAAAACCCATTGCCATTCTGCTGCTGCAGCCCGGCCTCGTTAGGGCCCTCCTCCCGGGGTGGCTCCCGGGAGCTGCTGCTATCATTGTCGATAACACAGCCGCTGCGTTTTTCCCATCCCGGGCCATTTCAGGCCTCCACATTGGCATGTAAATAAGTTATTCACCCGGCATCACTTGCTGATAGAAAAATGACCGTGAAACTCTTTGATTTTGGGTTTGCTCTTGTCACCGGCGCACAATGAAATCAAGAGTTGCAGTTTTCTGGCTGGGGCTTGTGGAGGGCTTTTATTATTTTTTTTTTTCCCTCCCTTTTTTTTTTTTTTTTTTTTTTTTTTGCCTTTTCTCTTTCCCAACTCTCCCCTTGCAGCATTTGTATGGAAATGATGCCATCCCACAATTTAATGCCGGGGTTGACCTGCGAGGTGTCCCCACTCCAACAGAGCGCAGCGTTGTTTATTTTTGCCCTCCCCAGGAACATTCAAAAACAATCTGGGTCACGCAGGAAAAGCTGTTGGCTTTTCCCCCCTCTCTTTTTTTTTTTTTTTTTTATTTTTTGGCTCTCAATGCCTTTGGAGAGCAGAAAGAGACCCCTGGACTCTTCCCCATGGGGAATCTGGGACAGTCCCACAGCTCTGCCTTGCCCCAGGGCGCAGCCAGGGAAATTTTCCCTGGGATATTGATGAATTCCTTCAGCCTCCCTGCCTCTCTCCAGCTGCTTTTCCCGGAGGGATTTGCATTCCCGTGGGCATCTCCCAAACCATTCCGGTTTTCCCCTCATTCTGCCTCAATTTCGGGGTGCTGGGCACCTTCCCCAGGGGTCAGAGCTCACCCACAGCCTCTGGGAATTCCATTCCCTGGCCACCAAAACCTCCGGGAGCTTGGTCCTGTCACTCCTGGGTCCCAACACGGGCAGCAGCCAGGTGAAGGGGATTTATTTTGTATTTTGGGGCAAAAAGCTGTTGGGATTTCATTGGAAAACTCCAGGGCCAGGTTTTGGGAATCTTTTGGGTGAAATGTGGGAATCTGCTGCGGTCAGAGCTCCTCATTTCCAATTTAAAACCTGCAGTGCTTTAAGATTTCCACACCAACCTGAGCTGGGACATTTCCAGACAGAAACCACCAACAACCTCTGGGGTTTGGGGTTTTTTTGGGGGGTTTTTTGGGTTTTTGTTGTTTTTTTTTTTTTTTTTTTTTTTGGTTTTTTTTTTTGGCCTCTTTTTTGTGTTGTTTGGGTTTTTTTTTGGTTTTTTTTTTTTTAACTTTCTCTCCTTGGAGAGGGATGGGAGAATCTTTCATTCGGGGGAGCTGGGCCCGGGCGGTTTGAGTGATAAAGATGCTTCTGTGCAGCGTTTGAAGTGGAAATTCATGCAGATTTGGAGCCTGGATGCTCCCAGCAACGTTCTGGGAAGCTTTGCTTGTTAGATCCGTGTAATAAAAGTTCCTCCCTCCCACCCCAGCCCGGCTCATCCCCGGCCTCTCTCCGGGCACAGTCTGGAATCTCTGAAGTTCCCCCTCGCCTGCCAAGCACCACCTGCAAGAGGGGGAGTTCCCTGGAGCTGGGAGACAAAAGGATTTGCAATCAAAGCCTCGGAATAGGGGGGAAAAAAAGGAAGGAAAAAAAGCATCAAAAAGTTTTTCCACGTTCTGGGCTGTCTGGGAAGCGGAAGGGGGAGAACTGTGGGGTTTTTCTTGCCTCATTTGCAGGCTATGGGAACGGGGATGTCGCCCAAAATCTCTTATCTCCCTTTTTGGTGGGAAGAGGATGATGGAATTTAATCCTGTGGGACACAAATTTGCCTTTCTGGGCAGTGTTGTCGTTGCTTGGCTTCCAAGAGTAAATGTCTGCTTTGGTGAGGAAAAAAATCAGGATTAAACTCAGTGGGTGAAGCAGAGGGAAGAGAACAAATGGAATTCTCACCTTGTATTCCCAGTCTCACTCCTCTTTTTTTAACTGAATGGGTTTTGAGGGAGCTGAGAGGTAAAAAAAAAATTCCACAGCAAAAGTCTGCGAGCGAATCAGGGCTTTAAGGACCCTTCCAACCCCAAACCTGGGATTCCAGCCCCAAACTCTGGGGTTCTATAAGGAGAATTTTATTTTTCAAAAGTCCTGAAAGACAGTGGGGAGAAAACCTTGTTGTGGAAATGAGAGGGGAGATGTGGGGGGAGAAAATCCCTCTGGGGATGGGTGGGCAGAGCAGGACAAGAGTTTTGCTCTCCAAGGAAATCCTTTCCCAGCAGGTTTTTGGCCAGCAGGAGCAGGAAAGGAAACAAAACTTGAGGCATTCAGGAAAACGCTGGAAACACCTTAAAAATTTACAATTCTCGTGCCACCTGAGAGGCCTTTCTGTGCTTTGTCCCCTGTGGGAAAGGTGCTCAGGACCACGGGATGACTTTCCCCTTCCTCCTCCCGAAATCATTCCCTTCACCTTCGGTTTCCCATCCCCAAAACCAGGCTGGAGCCCCGATTTTCTGCCACTCCCCAGCCTCCTGCTGCTGCCTCGTTATTCTTTAACTCGCCAGGGCCCTGTCCCCTGTGTTTCCCTGCAGAGCCCGGGGATGTTTATCCCGGGGGAGCCGGGAATGTTTATCCGCTGTCAGTCCCGGGGTCACCCCGGGGATTGACACCCGAGCCCCCCTGCCCTCCTTAGGGATGCACCAGGCTGTCAGTAACGAGGCCACGAGGTTTATTCAGCGCCGATCTCCCGATCTCAAAAGATAATCTGGGAATAATTGGGACTTAAGGAACTGGTGGGAATCTGATTTTTTGGCGGCGCTGCCATTCAGGAAGCAGATGGACATCTTATTTCGCCCTAATTTGATGGGCTTGCTTGACAAAATGGCAGAGGTTGCACTTTGCTACAATAATCAGCTGCCACTCAGACTTTGTAAGGGGCTTGTGGAGGTTTCTTCTTAATTAGACCGTGGCTCCCTATCGGGGAGGAGGTGATTCCCAGCAGCTTCTCTGCCTCCGGAGCCTGGAAAAGAGAGGGAAAAACCGAGGGGTTTTTCAGGTTTGTGTCAGATTTGGGGGGGCTTTTAAAAGTCTGGTTTGGAAAACGGAGCTTGGGAGGGAGCTCATTGTGCGGGGATAATGAATTCATGGATTTGCTCCCTCTAACCCCGGGGCAGCTTTCCCTGGGCTGGGGGGCACCTTGGGAAGCTTTGGAAAGCCTCGGGATTATTCCCGGGTTTGCAAACCCCACTTTTCACTTGCAAAAAAAAAAACCTTCCCAGTGCTGCCGTTTAACCCCTGACCTCCCGTGCTGCTTTTCCCTGGCTGATCCCACTCCAAAGGGAATCCTCTGGGATCCCAGCCCGCCTCGGGCTGCTTTTCTCGCTGTCCCCTCTGCAGCTAAAAATCCACTGGGAGCTTTGTTAATTAGGCAAATATAATTACCCCACCCCAGGGAAGTGCTGGAGTCTCCCTGGAAGAGCTCCAAAATTGAGGATTTTGGTGGCACTGGAAGATATGGTTCGGGGGAATGCTGGGGGTGTTGGCTCCAAGGCTGGATTTCATGAATTTGGAGTTTTTGCCAGACTTTTCCAAAAAGTTTGGGACTTTCTCCCAGACTTAATAGCTCCGTGATTCTGTGTTCAAGCCCCTCAATCAGGTGATGATGGGTTAAAGAGCCAGCCCAACCCAGCTGCCACCCAGCCCAGAAACATTTGGTGTCCTTCTTGCTTTCCTCATTCCTGTCCCCTTGGAGACTCCATTTTTACCTTTTCCCAGCAATTTCTGAGGGGAAAGCTGAAGTTGCTGAGCAGCCCAGGGACTCCCACTAGGAGAGGCTCCAGCCCCAACCAGCCCCGTTCTGCACACGAGGAATAAAGGGAATTCCAGTGGGATCTGTGGAATGGGAGGTGCAGGATGCACAGGTTTCCCCCAGGGGCTCGTCTGCCACTCTTGGCTCTTGGCTGTGCTGTTGGACATCCCTCAATCCCCAGATATTCATCAATCCTTGTCCATCAATCCCTGGATGTCCATCAATCCCTGGCTGTCACAAACTCTGCATTTCTTGGTGTTTAGGAGCAGTGAAAAAAGAACCCACTGAGCCCTTCGTGGGATGGTTTGGATTGGAAAGGGACTTGAAGGTCATCCAGTGCCACGCATCCCATGGGTCCCACTGTCCCACCTTGCTCCATCCAACCTTGGTTTGGACAATTCCAGGGATGGGGAATCCACGATTTCTTTGTGCCTCTGGTTTGTGGCATCACTCTGAGCCTCTCCGCCACTTCCCTCACCCTAAAATGGGGAATCCACGACTTCTTTGTGCCTCTGGTTGTGGCATCCCTCTGAGCCTCTCCGCCACTTCCCTCACCCTAAAACATCCCCTAAAAACCATCCAGAGGAGCAAACCCTCCTCCTCCATTAAGATCCTCACTAAAAATCAGTTTTCCCTTGCTGCCCATCAGCTCGGGGATGTTTTTCTCTCCGTCTCTTTGCAAACCTCCAGGGTGACCTTCACACTCCTCCAGGCTGCAGAGGAGCCAAAGTTTACAGCAAGGTCATTCCAGCTGCTCCAGACAGAGGCATGGAAGAGATCCCGGGAAACTGCTCAGGGATTCCAGAGCCCTCCACCCGCGGGTACCACCTCGGAGCATCCCCTCTTGATTTATTCTCCCAGGAGATGAGGTGGTTGCAAGGATTTCAAGAAGCCCATCTAATGGAGTGCTGGAAATGATAAATCAGTGGGGCTTTGTAAAGGTTATTACTTTAAACAAAGAGGGGCTTGAATGGAGCCAATTAAACGGCACCTGAATTGATAAACAAACTGCTTATTGTCGGGGGCTATTCTGCAGCTCTGGGGGTCCCCCCTCGCTGGAGGCCTGGGGATAAATTTACATGTGATTGGAGTTTAATGGGCCGCAACAGGCCTCCCATCCCATCGCCATGGCAACCGGCCCTTTCTCCAGCTTTTAAACAGTCTGCACTGGCCTTTTATGATTGTCTGCTGCTGGCAGCCCGACGGGGTGGGCCTGCCTTGTAGCAATTTGTTTCTGTCCCCGGGCACGGCCCGGCCAGGCCATGAATATATCTGGGGGGACACGGCGACAAAGGGCCGGGCCGAGGGGGCTCCATGGAGACCCTGGCACTGGAATGGTGACATATGGTCCGTGCTGACCCCGAGCAGCCCCACAATGAGCAGTCCTCAGCCCCTTTTTGGTTCCCGGCCCGCTTAGGCCGGGCCTATTCATGCCTAGGCCGAGTCAGCGGGCCTAGGCCTCTCCCCCCGCTTGTTTGGGGGCTTTGCTCCCGCTGAAATCTCAGCCTGTGAGCACTAAAGGGAGAATGAGAGAGGGGAGGAAGGAGATAAAGGCAGGAAGAAAAGGCTCTCCATGTCCCAGAGATGTTTGCTTTCCACTTGATTGGAAGCTGAATGGGCGCGGGTCGGAGCGGGGAGAGCTCCCGGTGTTGGGAGTCCCAGTGTGGTTTGGGGTCAAAGGGACCTGAAATCCCAACCAGGGCCATGGGCAGGGACACCTTCCACCATCCCAGGGTGCCCCAACCCGCCATTGGACACTTGCAGGGATGGAGCAGCCGTGGCTTCTCTGGGAATTCCATCCTGGCCCCTCATCACCCTCATGGGAGGAATTTATTCCCAATATCCCATCCAGCCCTGCCCTCTGGCAGTGGGATCCATTCCCCCTTTTCCTGTCCCTCCATTCCTTGTCCCCAGTCCCTCTCCAGCTCTCCTGGAGCTCCTTTGGGCACTGGAAGGGGCTCTGAGCTCTCCTTTTCTTCTCCAGGTGAACATTCCCAGCTTTTGAAGGGGGATCAGGCTGAGGGTCCCCCTGGCCCTGGATCCCACCTGGATCCCCCCTGGTACCACAGCCAGCACTGAACACGTCCCACAAGGACAAGGGACTTCAGGATATTCACCCCAGCCCCAAATCCCATTTTTTCCAGGTGACTCAGGTGTCAGAGCAGCTGGGTTTGCGTTGTTGTCCCTCCCTGACCACAGCAGGAACCTCGTGACTGTGAAAGCTGATTTCTGGTAAAGGCCCCACCTGCCAGCTCTGCTCAGTGACCCCACAAACCAGCGGGATTTGCATGTGGACACCTAATCCTGGGCTGTTCTTCCTCCAAGTCTGAGGGAGAGCCCTGGGCTTGGATCTCTGGTGAAGGAATCTGAAAGTCAGACTCATAAAAGTCACCAGAAAGAAGCTGCCACACCAGTGCTGTGCAGGGAGAACAAACTGGGCAAACCGGGCAAGAAAATAATCTTTTAAAATCAGGAATTTCCCAAAGAAAACCTTTCATTTGCAGGGCAAATGAAAAATCCCCTCAATAATTGATGCACCAAACGTTGCAACGCTTGCAAAAACGCGGATTTTTGTGCCTGGAGAGGAGAATTTCTCCCAAAGGTGGCTGAGCCAGGATGCTGGGGGTGCTATCAAAGCTCAGCTCCTCCTCGCTGCCCTCCCCACCCCTGGAGCTGGTGTGAAGGGCCTGGGATGGGCAGCATTCCCCCTTTCATCTCGGGGTGTGACTTGGTGTCCAGCTGCACCACCAGGGCCCGTTAGCCCCTTATTTCCTGGCAGTTTGGTGGCTGCAGGCACAAATTCCAGGGTTTCCTCCTGTCCCAAGGTGTTGTGGCACTTGGAATTCCTGCACTCAGGACTGGGAGAGCAAAAATTCCAGGGTGCCTCTTGTCTCAAAATCCAGGGCTCCCTCTTGTCTCAAATTTCAGGGTTCCGTCTTGTCTTGTGGCTCTTGGAGAGGGAATTCCTGCAGCCAGGACTGGGAAAACATAAAATCCAGGAGTCCTTCTTGCCTCAGGAGTGTCACAGAACTTGGAGAGGGAATTTCTGTAATGAGGGCTGGGAGAGCAAAAATTCCAGGATCTCTCTTGCCTCGAAGTGTTGCAGGACTCGGAGAGGGGATTCCTGCAGCCAGGACTGGGAAGACAAAAAGTTCCAGGGTTTTGTCTTGTCTTGTGGCACTCTGAGAGGGAATTCCTGCAGCCAGGAGTGTGACAGACCCATCCCAGAGGCTGCTCTCCAGGAGATCCCTTCCAACATCTCCTTGGGATACAGAAATTCCATCATTTTCTCTGCCCTGACTCCTGCAGGTGCCTGAGGTGCAAGCAAAAACCTTTGCAGCAGGGTCTTCAAAATGATGGCAAGTAAACCAGTGAAATCCCCCTTGTGTGGGGAAAAAAGGCTTTATTTTCAATAATATTTTCATTAATATTTTCATTAATACACCCCAGAGTTGTTCTCAGCTGGAGATTTAACGCCTGAGTTTGAAATCTCCCGGCTTCTCCCAGGAAAAGCCAGCTCTTCTTCTTGGAATTCTGAAATTCTTTATTTGGGATATTGCACCCACTGGAATTCTTTATTTGGGATATTTATCAGCCTGTTTTGACTTGGCTTGGGGTTTTTTAAATCGGTTTTTGAAGGAGTATTAACCTGGATCCATGGAGGGCAGGCAGGCAGCAAAACTCCCCCCAGGACAGCAAAATTCCCTCTCCTTCCCTTGCCATTTGCTTGGGAGGGATTTTCCTGCCAAGTTTATGGCCAGGCCTTGCATTTGAAAGGAAAATTGCTCTTCTTGAGCTGGTGAGAGAGCAGGAGAAGAAACAACACAAAGCAAAAGGGGAGGTGAAAACCTGGCCGGAGGCTTCCAGCTGCAAGAGGAGCCCGTGGCGTCCCGGATTTTCCCATCCCAGCCCGGAATTCCGGCGGGTTTGGTTTTCTAAACAGGATCTGGGCGATGCAGGACATCCCCAGGCCTGAGCAGGATGGTTTCATCAGCGGGGAAGAGAAAAGGAAGGTGCTGGGGTGAGGCTGGAGGGGAGGAAGTGACGCCAATCCCGCCTCGCATCCCGGCATTCCGCAGTTTGGGAAGGAGCCCTGGCCTCCCGTTCGTTGTTGATTATCCCAACATCCCTCCTGCTCCTCAGCATCAGGGATGGTGGAGGGAGGAAGCCACGGCTCAGCTTTTCCTTGGGATTGCTGCGAGAGGGGTGTTTTCCCCTGGAAATGTGGGAATTCTCACCACGAGGAAAAGGCCACCCTAAGGAACTCCGACCCTGGCGAAGCCACAAAGCCAAAGCAGAAGGCTGAGAATGTTTTTGATTGGGATGAAAGCAATAGAAACAAGCCCAAAGAAAGGAGAAAATCCCGGTTTATGGCATCCATTTGGTCCTTAATGGGATCATTCCCGCGTTTCTCGCAGCCTTTAACATTTGGGCTGGTCATAAAGGGCCTTTTCCTCCTCTGCTGCCTTCCTTCCCTCCCCAGATGGCTGCTCCAGCCTCCCACGCCACCTGACCCTTTGGGAAATCCTTTCCCAAAGCTGCTGCCTGCTGCTCTCTCCATATCCAAAAGCTGTCTGCTCCAAATTGCCGGATGAAGATTTTTTTGGACTTGGAGATGGGGTAATGAGAGGTGTTTTAAAAACTTTTATTCCATTTTCAGTCTCGTGTGACGATACAGAAGTTATAATTCACGCTGTTACAATCAGAAGCCGGCTATTTTTTAATCTACAAATTCATTTCCCACACAAATATTTATTTTTTTTTATTCACCCTGCAGGATAATTGCTGTCTCCCATAAAAACCATTTCCAGGCTCCGAGAGCATTCTGTGTGTGTGCCACAGGAAAAAACAACTCCAGCCCTGTAAACACAGCCACTTCCTGCCCTGCTCCCAGCAACCAGCACCACTGACCCAAATTTACCCCCTTTCCTCCAGAAATCCTCCTTGCTTTCAGCCTGGTGGAAATGTCAGCTGCTCTCTGCAGGGCTGGGCTGCTCCAGGATATTCCCAGCCTGTCCTGCTGGGGAATTTCAGTGGTTTTGGAGAGGCAGAGTCAATCCTGTCCCACACCTGGGCTGCGTCCCTGGGGCTGCACATCAGCAGCAGCAGCTGGCAGCAGAGCTCTGCAGCCTCTGGAATGTCACAGTGCATGCTTTGGTGTCACAGGGGAAAAAAAAAAGTGAGAAGGAATCGCTGCTTAAAATGGGGGAAATCTGATTTTTTAAAAAAATAAATTCTGCAGAGTGGCTGCAAATTAATTTCTGGGAGTCCTGTGCTTTTCTTTCTTTAAAAAATAAATTCTGTAGAGTGGCTGCAAATTAATTTCTGGGAGTCCTGTGCTTTTCTTTCCCTGGAATGCATTAAATCTCCAAAGGTGGAGGGAAGCGCTGCTGCTAAATAACCCCGGGGTCTGGCAGTGTGTGAGGGAATTGTCACCTCTGTCACCTCTGCAGGGTCCCCGTGTGCCACCCCCACGCCTGGCCAGGTGTCAGCCCCGAGCTGGGCCAGCCTTAGGGGCAGGGAATTTTGGGGACAGCTCTGGGGTCACTGTGGCACAGCTGGAGGAGCAGGGACAGTGCCAGCCCTGGGGACATGTCGGGCGCTGCTGTCCCAGCCACACAAGGAGCTCTTTCAGCCCAAAGCTGCTTCCAGGGATTTCCCAGGATGCAGAACTCCCCCAGGGCTGGGACACACGTGCCAGTGCCACAATGTGCCACTGCTGGTGGCTTGGAGGGTGTGGGGTCAGCCCTGAGCTCTGGGATGGGACATTTGTGCAGGACAAAGCCAGCAAATCCCTGCCCTGAGAAACCCAGCTGTGCTCCGGGGGCTCAGCCTGCGTTTGCAAGGAATACATCAGCTTAAAATGTAATTTAAAATGTCATTTGAAATGCAATTTAACATGTAATTTAACATGTAATTTAACATGTAATTTCCCCCCTTTTCTTACAGAGATGGAGCCAGTGCTGAGTTCTGGGCACTCTCCAAGCCCCATCCTTCCTCCTCTTCTTTCCCTTCCCACTCCTGGGAATGGGATAAGGCACAAACCTGGGAAGTGTGGGCTCGGAGGTGAGCAGGGATGCAGCCCCCAGCCCCAAAGGGCACCCCGGGGCTGGCAGGGACAGGGGCTGGCTGCAGACAGGAGGCACACGCCCGGCGGGGTGGCAGCAGCGGGTTAATGATGGTTTTATTCCGGTAATCAGCGAGCAAATAACGCGGCCACACCTGAGAGAGACCGGCTGGGCCAGCCCGGCAGGTCCGGGCTGAGTCAGGAGGGGCACAGAGAGGCTGCTGGCCATGGGAACCTGCGGCACGGCAGGGCAGGGCAGGGCAGGGAGTGTGCCCAGCGCCTGGGTGACTCAGGAGCGGGACAGCCCCGGGACAGCGCTGGGAGAATCCTGGGACAGTGCTGGGACAGCACTGGGACATCAAGGGAAGAATCCTGGGACAGCCCCGGGACAGCGCTGGGACAATCCTGGGACAGTGCTGGGACAGAACTGGGACATCAAGGGGAGAATCCTGGGACAGCCCTGGGACAGCGCTGGGACAGTGCTGGGATAGCGCTGGGAGAATCCTGGGACAGCGCTGGGACAGCACTGGGACAGCACTGGGACATCAAGGGGAGAATCCTGGGACAGCGCTGGGAGAATCCTGGGACAGCACTGGGAGAATCCTGGGACAGCCTCGGGACAGCACTGGGACAGCACTGGGACAGCACTGGGAGAATCCCGGGACAGCCCTGGGACAGTGCTGGGATAGAACTGGGACATCATTGGGACATCACTGGGACATCAAGGGAAGAATCCTGAGACAGCCCCGGGACAGAACTGGGACAGTGCTGGGATAGCGCTGGGAGAATCCTGGGACAGTGCTGGGACAGTGCTGGGATAGAACTGGGACATCAAGGGGAGAATCCTGGGACAGCCCTGGGACAATCCTGGGACAGCCCTGGGACAATACTGGGACAGTGCTGGGACATCAAAGGGAGAATCCTGGGAGAGCCCCGGGACAGTGCTGGGAGAATCCTGGGACAGTTCTGGGACAGCCATGGGACAGCACTGAAGGAATCCTGGGACCTGGGACAGTGCTGGGACAATCCTGGGACAATCCTGGGACAGCCCTGGGACAATCCTGGGACAATCCTGGGACAGCCCTGGGACAATCCTGGGACAGCCCTGGGACAATCCTGGGACAGCCCTGGGACAGCCTTGGGACATCAAAGGGAGAATCCTGGGACAGCCCCAGGACAGCCCCAGGACAGCCCCGGGACAGTGCTGGGAGAATTCTGGGACAGTGCTGGGACAGCCATGGGACAGCACTGAAGGAATCCTGGGACAGCCCTGGGAGAATCCTGGGACAGCCCTGGGACACCTGGGACACTTTTATTTGTACTTCTTTGTGAGCAGAGCTCCCTAGAACATCTGCCTCCCGGGCATTTTTAGGAGTTCTTTGGGACATCACTGGGACATCAAGGGAAGAATCCTGAGACAGCCCCGGGACAGAACTGGGACAGTGCTGGGATAGCGCTGGGAGAATCCTGGGACAGTGCTGGGACAGTGCTGGGATAGAACTGGGACATCAAGGGGAGAATCCTGGGACAGCCCTGGGACAATCCTGGGACAGCCCTGGGACAATACTGGGACAGTGCTGGGACATCAAAGGGAGAATCCTGGGAGAGCCCCGGGACAGTGCTGGGAGAATCCTGGGACAGTTCTGGGACAGCCATGGGACAGCACTGAAGGAATCCTGGGACAGCCCTGGGAGAATCCTGGGACAGCCCTAGGACACCTGGGACACTTTTATTTGTACTTCTTTGTGAGCAGAGCTCCCTAGAACATCTGCCTCCCGGGCATTTTTAGGAGTTCTCTGCTCCCCCTGAGCCATGGAGCCCTTTCCAGCAGCCTGGCCTCAGGAGGGATCTCCAGGGAGGAGAGGGGATGGAGGAGCTGCCTCTCCTCTGCCCTGCAAGCCTTTGGCACCTTTGGATCCCCAGCCAGCACTGGCTGTGTCCTTTCTGATAAAAAGGATTTCTCTACAGCAGAAAAACCCCATCCCTTAAGTCCTGTCAGCCTCAGAACGAGCCCTGGAGCTGCTCTGACACCAAGCAGGCAGGAAAACAAACAAGCAAGGAAATCAAACCCTGGGAGGGGAAAAAAAAAAAAAAAAAAAAAAAAGCAAGCAATGTGTCTGGAAGACAAGTCAAGGGCAGGCAGTGATGGGCAGGAGCAGCCCTGCCACTTGCAGTCATGTCAGGGCACAGGAAAAGCGTGCAGACACGGATCCAGCATCCTGGGGAGGCTCAGGCTGGGGGTGGAATCCGTGGGGAGAGGGGCCCTGAGCCACGTCAGCCCCTCGGGGTTTGTGATCCCGGCCTCAGGGAGAGGGGGAGGCTCTGAGCCGGGAGCCAGAGGGCTTTGCTCGCCTGTTTTGGGGGTTCTGCCTCAAAATCCAGCCCTGTCACTGCCCTCTGTCCATGCCTGGTGGCCTCTGAGCCAGGTGAGGGTGAAGACCCCTGGAAAAATTCCTGAGCCCTCTGAGCTTAGGGAAATCCTTTTCCTGCAACTTAAGGGTCGTTTCTTTATTTTTTATGTAGAAGGGCCAGAAAGAATGAGATCCATCGTGGTGAAAGTGAGCTGGGAAAGGCAGGAGCAGGTCCTTAAATGGCTCCCAGATCCCACAGATCCTACAGATTCCACAGATCCCAGATCCCAGAGATCCCAAATCCCACAGATCCCAGAGATCCCAGATCCCACAGATCCCAAGTACCACAGATTCCACAGATTCCACAGATCCCAGATCCCACAGATCTCAGAGATCCCAAATCCCAGAGATCCCAAGTCCCATAGATTCCACAGATTCCACAGATCCCAGGTCCCACAGAACCCACAGAACCCACAGATCCCAAATCCCACAGATCACAGATCCCAAATCCCACAGATCCCACAGCTAATGGGACAGGAGCTGGGTGCTGGGATCTGTCCCACAGCACTGGGATAAGGCTGGAAAACCCGCAAAAATCACCGAGCCAAACCTTTAACCGTGCTACCCGTAATGGGACAGGAGCTGGGTGCTGGGATCTGTCCCACAGCACTGGGATAAGGCTGGAAAACCCGCAAAAATCACCGAGCCAAACCTTTAACCGTGCTACCCGTGAAGCCAGGTCCCCAAGTGCTGCATTCACACATTTTTTGGACGTTTCCAGGGATTCCAGCACTTCCCTGAACCACAGGAAAACCTGGGAACGGAGAGGAGCAGAGAGAGGGGGAGATTCCTGATGGGGACTTGCAGCATCCAGCCAGTAATTCCTGATTTTTCCTCCCCACATCTGACTCGGGGCGGGGAGAAGCCTCTGCTATCCCATGCCAGCAATTGAGCAGGAAGAGCAGGGGTTTATTGCCTGTGAGTGCTTTTCCAAACGGAGCCTGGAGCTCTCACACACTTCCAGCCTTCCCTTATCCCTCAGAGGCAGGAGGATTTTTATCTTCATCCAGCACTGCAGAAAAAACAATAAAAAAATTTAAAAAAATCCATAAACCCAGCTGCCTTAAAAAACAAACTTCATTTCCCAGCCCATGCTAATAATTTACTCTTATTCCAGGTTTTACTGGGACTCCTTTCAAGGGCTGCCCCCCTCGGTAAATAGCACATAACTCAGGCCAGGAGGATTTCCTCCCCGCTGGGACTTTTAATGTCGAAAGCAGAGGTGTCAAACAAGCGGCTCAAAGCCCCGTGGTGGCCCCGGAGAGTTCCACATCTGGCCTGGATCTCGGTGCTTAACACGTTTTAACTCTTGCCCCGAGCAGCTCCGGATTTCCCTCGGCAGCTCGCCCCGCAGCCGGGTTAGGTTTGATTTAAGAGGCTGCAAGGAAAAGCCAAAAAAAAAAAAAAAAATTAAAATTAAAAAAAAAAAAAAAAAAAAAAAAAAAAAAAAAAGGAGAAAGATGAGGTCATGGCACTAGCTGTCCCATGAAAATTGATTAAAATGTCCTAATATTTAGAAATACCAATGAAAGCCTACAAACACAACCCCTTCAAAACCTCCTGGATCTATGGAAGAGGATAGAAACATTAGGTCTTATGTCTGACTTCCTGGAGCCATAGGCAAGTCTGTAAAGGCAGACTTCCTTCTGTCATCTTGAGAAAAGTGACGAGTGTGAGGGAGTGTAGGTGGGACAGAGAGCATGAACTGCTCTCTCTTCTCTTTTCAGTAAATTAAGTATGTTCAGGTTTAGCTCGTTTTAGTTATTTTCAGGTTATGCTGAAGCTGATGGTATTTATTGTGCCTGAAGAGGCATTTAATATTTTATAAACAGTCTGATTGAAAAACCCGAGTTCATCCCCCTGTTGGGGACTGATTGGTGGCAGGGATTGCATGCTAGCTGTGGTCAGAGGCAAACAGGCCAAGCCATCCCTTCTGCAGCAGGTGCTATGGTCTGTCACCACGAGCCTGACCTCACACTTGTCTTTCTTGGAGGAACACCGAGCTGAAAGTTATCTCCATCTGGGTTTGTCATTTGAAGCACAGCCAAAACTGAGGCAGCAGAATCTAATCTTTCAAATGTGACCTTACTCCACTCCCATAGTGCAAAGGGTTTAAAATTAAAGCTCTCCATTTAGATCACCTTTACTCCAAAGTAATTTTCATTCTTCTCTGGAGTTCAATGCCCTTAATTATTCAGTCTAGCTAACCACCCTCCAAGAAACACAGTTATATCTTCAATCCCTTTTACTGCCTTTCTTAGCAAAAGCCTGCTACTAAAAATTTTCCATAGGTTCTCAATCCTGGATTTTCAGAGGTATTTCAATATCTAGCTAGCCAGCATTTCAGTGCTGTTCTGGTACTTAAATTCTTTTTAAAAATCTCTAGTATTGCTTCAGTCAGGCCTTGCCTTGTTTCACATATGGGTATGTTGGTTTGTAAAAGATGAAAATATTACCTGTAACACCTCTAGACCCATAGATCCTGTAACCTGTAAATCTCTAGACCAACAGATCCATTAATCTAATCTAAATAGTTTTCTAATTTTTATCCTAAATATCCTGAAAGCTTCTACTTTTTCCCTGAATGTACCTATCCTGAATAAAATCTAAAAAACTTAAATCCATTAGTCTTCATTGCTTGCTAAATCCTGAGAGCTGCCAGAGCACCACACCTAGGGTCTTTACACTGAGCAGCAAAGCAGAGATGGCAAACACAATTCTCAATCCTGCTATTTACTGGAATTAGCCAGTTCACCAAAATCAACCTGCATTATTTTAACCTACCTCCAACAGACTGTGAAGGGCAGGCAGTACAGAGAGAGGGAATTTGCCAGTTTTTTCCCAGGTGTCCAGCCACTCGTAACAGCCTGAGCTCAGTGCCTAAATCCTGTGATGTTGTAACACCAGGGGCCTGGATGTCTTCACCAAGGATGCCATCATGCCTGGTCTCTGTGTTCACAGCCACTCCCTATGCTAATCCTTGAGGACCTGGGGGGCTGGGAGCGTGACAGCTCTGTATTGAACCCCTCGTGTCTTCTGCAGGGTTGACAGGAGAAGGGTGTGGGCACCTTTTGCCCACCATGGTTCTGCTGGTGGGACATTGCAGTGGCTGGCTGCAGTTTGCAGCAGGAGCTTCTGCTCTGCTTCACTCATACAGATGAAGTGGTTGAGATCCAGGGAACACGTTTGAAATTGGAAACCACAGGTCCCTGTCTTTCCAGAAAGGAAATATCTTGGCAGTTCTAGTCTGAGAACACTTTTCAATTTTCTGGTATTATCCTACATGCATGTGATAAAACTGCCTCCCAGTCACCTTCACTTTTTCAAAGTTCACCTTCAAGCCCTGCTTGATATCAAAATACCATTAGTGCTAATGAGCTCTCCAGCAAACATTGCATTGTTGCTCCCTTACCTACTTACTTTGGGAAGAATAAAGGACAAAGATGCTATGGCTATTAACTCAGAGCCCTCATTCACTTACGTTTTTACTTGAACTGTCTCTATTCACTGTAAATTCCTTTCACACTCTGTGGTGTCAAGAACACATTATCAGCTTTTCACTGATCTCAGTTTCTCAGGTGCCTATCACTGCATGTGTTGTAAAATCAGCATCTGTGTATGCATGTGGCCAGGCTTAGCAGATGCTTTTACAGGATAAGATGTGATATATATTCTGTATGTGAAATCAGATTAAACCCCAAATCCATCAAACATTTTATTTCAAAGAAAGGAAATTATGCCATTTGATGCAAACATATTTCTTTATTAACAGTTTCACAGCATGCTCCTCAGCTCCAAATTCTCTGGATGTGGGATTGCAATTCATTCGTTCACTCTAAGAGAAACACTCATTCATTTTGTATTATGCCTGCTATATGTACAATAAAAAGGAGCTGTTGAAAGGTTCAAAGGGCTGCCCCGGGCTCTGGGAGCGGGGTGCGGGCTCGCAGCTCCCCCGGAGCAATCCTGGCGATCCCGGGATGCGCTTGGGAAAGAGGGAGGGAGCAGAAAAAAAAAAAAAAAAAATTAAATTAAAAAAAAAAAAAAAACAATAAAAAAGGAGCTGTTGAAAGGTTCAAAGGGCTGCCCCGGGCTCTGGGAGCGGGGTGCGGGCTCGCAGCTCCCCCGGAGCAATCCTGGCGATCCCGGGATGCGCTTGGGAAAGAGGGAGGGAGCAGGGATGGAGGAGGGAGCGGCGCCGCTGGGTTTATCGGGGCATCGCCACACGCGGGCCGCTCGTGCTCCCAGCCACTGGGAGCACTGGGAGCACTGGGAGCCCCCGGGTGTGCTGCCGTGGGAAAGGGGAGCCGGAGGTTTCTGTCTCCTTTATTTCAGGGGAGATGGGCGTGTCCTAAAAGGGAATTTGGGAACTTTGGGTGCTCTTCCTGACTTTCTCATTCCCTTTTTTTTCATTCCCTTTTCTGCTCCCTCCGTCTCTCAGTCTCTGCCTGGCCTGGTGGCCGGGACTGTCCCCTCCTCCGGTCACATTTTGGGGTACAACAGAGCCCAAATCCCTGCAGGGTTTGGGTTGGAAATACCTTCAAGCTCATCCCATTCCACCTTTCTCTACCTCAAGCTGCTCCAGCCTAGCCTTGGACACTGCAGGAGGGGATCCAGGGGCTCAGGATCTGCCTCATCCCTTGGGAAATGTTCCCTGGTTCCCTGACAGGGGAATGGGTGGATTTGGAGGGCACCCAGCCATCCCAAATCCCTGCAGGAAGAAGTTTTGGGGCTCAGCCCCACTCAGGATCTGCCTCATCCCTTGGGAAATGTTCCCTGGTTCCCTGACAGGGGAATGGGTGGATTTGGAGGGCACCCAGCCATCCCAAATCCCTGCAGGAAGAAGTTTTGGGGCTCAGCCCCACTCAGGATCTGCCTCATCCCTGGGAAGTGTTCCCTAATTTCCTGACACAGAAATGGGTGGATTTGGAGGGCACCCAGCCATCCCAAATCCCTACAGGAGGAGGTTTGGGGGCTCAGCCTCACCCAGGAACTGCCTCATCCCTTGGGAAGCGTGTCCCTGATTCCCTGACACAGAAATGGGTGGATTTGGAGGGCACCCAGCTATCCCAAATCCTTGCAGGGTGAGGGGCTCAGCCCCACCCAGGATCTGCCTCATCCCTTGGGAAGCTCTCCCTGATTCCCTGACACGGAATAAATGGATTTAGCAGCCACAGAGGGGCCGGGGGCGCCTCTCCCTGAGCACCCAGCCCCCTTTTTCCCCCTCTCCCCTCCGACTCCTCTCTCCCAGAGCCCCAAACCCATCCCAAACCCCCCTTCCCCCGCCCATTCCCCAATCCCCGGCGGCCGGGGCTCCTCCCTGGGTGGCTCCCGGCTGTCGCCAGCCCGGGGCACGGCGGGCACGCGTCTGCCCAGCTCCAGCTCAGCCGCCTTTCCCCCAGCGCCTGTCTCCATCCCTGCCCTCCTGCCGTGCTGGGGAGGAGGCGAAACCCGCGCCGCTCCCGCCGGGCTGTCGCAATAACTCCGTGAAAAGCATCCTGGCAGCTCCCACTTTCCCAGGCTGCTGCCCCGGGGCCGCTCCCAGCCCCGCAGCTCCGGGGATGACTGCAGCATCGCCGGGGGAAGCCGGGCACAAGGAGAAGATGAATAATTTCCCTAAAGGCACGGCTCGGAGCGTGCCTCGGCCTGCCGGTGATTCAGCAGCTGGCTTCGCCTGCCCTGCCCCTCCTGGGACAGTGGCTGGAAATAGCTGAGAGGGTTCAGGGCAGAGGGAGCGGGGATGGGGGAAGATGGGGAGAGGGTTGGAAGAGCGCTGGGTGAAGCAGCAGCAGGGGTAGTGCCGGGAAAACACGCAGGAATGGCTGGAATTGGGTGCCCGAATGTGCTTCCCTACTGGAATTGCAGATTCCAGCCTCTCCTCCTGGAGAGGAGAATGGGAGCAATCTTTAAAAAAAATTTTTTTTTAAGTAAAAATAAAAATGAAATAAAAAGAAGAAGAAGAAAGGGGGAAAAAAGAGAAGAAAATAAAAAGAAAAAAATGAAAAAAAGAAGAAAAAAGGGAAAAATCCTAACAAAAAATAAAAAGAAAAAAAAATAAAGGAAAAGAAAGAAGGAAAGGAGAAAAAAAAAGAAAAAAGGAAAAATCCTTTAAAAAATAGAAAATAGGAAAAATCCTTAAAGAAAAAAAAAAAAAAAAAATAAAGGAAAATCCTAAGAAAAAAGGAAAAATCCTAAGAAAAATAAAAAATTAAATAAAATTTTAAAAAAAAATCCTGAAGTTGCACCAGAGGAGCTTTAGGTTGGACATGAGGGGAAAACTCCCCTGGAAGGATGGGCAAGCAGTGGATCAGATTGCCCAGGGCAGTGGTGGAATCCCCACCCCTGAGAGCGCTCCAAAACCACGTGGGTGTGACATCTGGGGACAATGTTTAGTGCTCTGCCTGGCCTGGCAGTGCCGGGCTGATGGTGGGATGGGGGGGATTTCTTTTCCAGCTTTAGGGATTCCGTGGTTCCCGCACTCCCTGCTCTAACCCAGGATTCCAGGTGGAGTTTCTGAGCTGTGCTCCAGCCCTGGGGCCAAAAGGAGCAGGAGCAGCCGCTGCTCCAGGGGATTTGTGATCCCCAAATTTCCCCCTCTGGCCATGGAGCTGCCCCGGCAGAGCTGGGGACAAAGGAGCAGGGGACAAAGGGGACCCAGGAGCAGGACACAGCCCAGGGGACGGAGCTGGCTGCTCAGATTTTGGGGAGCTTCCAGACCTGGAAATTGGGAGGCAGCTCCTTGCAGGGTGAAGGATCTCTGGTGTGACACCATCAGAGAATTGGGGATTTCCACCAGGGAACCCCAACAGCTCCCACAACCCAGCCCCGAATATTCCCAACAGGAATTACCAGCACGAGGTGCTCAGCCCAACAACCTCTCCTGGCTTTTCCCGGGGTTTTAAACCCTTCCAAAGGCTGGAGAGGAGCCCTGCTCCCATTCCAGAGGCTGCAATCCCTCCAGCTGTCAGTCAGAGCTGTTGTCAGGCAGAGCTGTCACGTCAGGCTCTGCTCTGACTGACAGCCCGGGTTGTTATCTCCGAATGTGTCATCCCAGCCCGGCCTGACAGGTCAGCACTGCGAGACTTCCAGCATCCATTTATTATCAGCTTCATCCCAGCCCTTCCTGCACATCCCTGCCCGGCTGGGAGATGGGATCTGACAGGGCAGAGGGGGTGCAGGGGGGTGGGTTTGGGGCTGAGGAATCCTGGAGGGGCAGCACGTGGAAAATGGGAATTTCCGTCCCCTGCCCCAATTCCCTCGGGGGGATTTTTGAGGCAGGATGCAGAGAAGGGGAGGGAAATCGATGATCCTGCTCTGGATATTCCAGGATTTCGTGGCTCTGAGAGCAGAGCTTTGCCAGGGGTTTTAGCAGTGGTGGGGAAGAAGAAAAGCAATGGGAAAGAAGGAAGAAAAACAATGGGAAAGAAAGAGGAAAAGCTATGGGGGGAAAGGAAGAAAAGCAATGGGGGAAAAGGAAGAAAAGCAATGGGGGAAAAGCAAGAAAAGCAATGGGAAAGAAAGAGGAAACACAATGGGGAAGAAGGAAGAAAAGAAATTGGAAAGAAGGAAAAAAAAACAATGGGAAAGAAAGAAGAAAACAATGGTAAAGAAGGAAGAAAAGCAATGGGAAATAAGGAAGAAAAGCAATGGGAAAGAAAGAGGAAAAGCAATAAGAAGGAGGGAAGAAAAACAATGGTAAAGAAGGAGAAAAAGCAATGGGGAAAAAGGAAGAAAAATCAGTGGAAAGAAGGAAGAAAATCAATGGAAAGAAGGAAGAAATGCAATGAGAAAGAAGGAAGAAAAGCAATGAGAAAGAAAGCAAAAAAGCAATGGGAAAGAAGGAAGAAAAGCAATGGGGAACAAGGAAGAAAAGCAATGAGAAACAAGGAAGAAAAGCAAAGGGAAGCGAGGAGAAGCTCCCATGGGATGTCCCTGTGCCTCTCGTTCCTGCACTGACCTTGTCCTTGCAGAATCTCCCCTGCCAGGGGCACGGGCAGCTTCCCCCTCCTGCCGCCCGGGGCCAGGGCACTGCAAGCCTTGTAAACACCCTGCCTTGTCCCCAGGTCACCTTGGCGGTGACACCAGCCCAGCCAGCCTCTCCTCAGGGCCATTTCACCCTTTCCCATCCTGTGGAGCTGCTCCAAGGCTGCCCAGCTCTCCCTCTTCCCGGCCAGGTCGCTGCCCTTTGGTGCCCACTAAAAATACCCGGCAGTGGACGAGGCTGAGCGTGGCTGGAGTTAAATAAAGCACCCCGGGGCCTCTCCCAGTGCTGGGTGCAGCTCTGCCTCGTGCTCCCCCCCAAAAAAACACAGAGCTTTCCATGCTCAGCACCGGTGGAAAAAGAATTCCCGGCTGGATTATAGTGGGGAAAGCTCAAAGAGCAATATATGCTGAAAAAAAAGCAATATATGCTAAAAAAAATCCGTGATTTCTCTGGGTGCCACCAGGAGCTTTGCTCAGCAGCTGGGTTTGTTCCCCCTTCTCCCTTTTGTGCCCCCCAATCCTGGGATGCTGGAGGATAAAGGGGGATCCTACAGACCCCAGGATCTCGGGTTTGCCCACATCCCACAAGTGGGAACACCAGGAGCAGCGAGGGGAGCAGGAACAGGAGCAGGAGGGGTGAAAAATGGCAATATTCTGATTAAATCAGCATCCCTGTGGCTTTATTCCATTGCTCTCTGGAAAACCCGGGGATCACACTGCACGTCCCTCTGGGTCAGGGCTTTGCTTTAGGATTCCCAAAGAGAAAATGGGGGTTTGGGATCATTTGGGATAATTTTTTGGCCTCCTCCTGTGCGAGGGGACAGGTTTTAAACCGAGTTACACCAACCCGAGGTCACAATCTGAGCCTCCCTCTCCCAGCTGATCCTGTTTTGTCTTCCCAGAGAAAACCTGGGAACTGCCCCGGGTGAACAGCCTGGCTTTATCTGGATTTATCCTGGGGTCTCTGGACATGGAAACAGCTTTAATGAGCAACCTACAAACCAGGGGCTGCTTCCAGAACCGGAGCTCGGTTCAGCTCCTGCTGCTGCTGATTGATTTTGGGGTCTGGGGAAGGTTTTGCCTTCACCCCCCTGAGCTCAGCATTCCCTCCCCTGCCCCCGGTGCTCCCGGAGGATCTGGGAAATCCCAGCAGAGCTCCCGAGCTCGGGATTCGCTGCTGGTTTAGCACCCAAACGCTGCCAAAAACCACTCGGGCTGCTCTTTGCTGAGCCTCCGCGGGTTCTGGGGCTCTTCTCCATCTGCTCTGCTCTATTTTTGTGCTCGGCCTTGGAATCCTCCCCTCCTCTGGAAACCAGGCTGTTTACAAATATTTGCCTGGGAGAATCTCTGCTGCTCCCAATTCTGCTTTTAAAAAAAAAAAAAAAAAAAAAAAGAAGCAGATGGAGAAGAGCCCCAGAACCACAGAATCCACACCCCCGGCATCAACCTGCGAGCTGATTTGATATTTTATTTTATTTCCTTTCCTAGCGGCTCCGGCAGTGGAAACCTCACCTGAGCCGGGTCGGCGGCGTTGGATTTGATTTCCTGATGGTGGATTTGCTGCTCCCGGGGAATGGGAGAGGGAGATAGAGCAGGAATTTGGCGCCAAGAGCCCGGCTTTGAAAGGGCCGCATTCCAGCCCTGCCAGGCTAAGAGGGGCTAAATGGGAAGATCTGATTAAGCGTCTCAGTGCGGTGACCCTGACCTCAAAGAACGCGCCGAGGCTCGGGAGGAACTTCATTTCAATTAATCAGCTTAACAGCCCGAGTAAAGCTGCCCGCGTCCATTGAGCCGGGCTCCCGCTCCTCCTCCTCCTCCTCCTCCTCCTGCTCCTCCCGGAAGCTCCGGGATTGCCCTGGGGCTCGGGGATGCCTTCATCCCCCTCATTAGGAGCCTTTGGAATATCAGGGACACAGCCCCGGAGCCCCCATCCCTCTGTGACCCTTTCCCACCTCCCTAGGGAAATGTGGGAAATATGGGAAATGTGGGAAATGTGGGAAGGGAGGGATGGTTGTGCCCACTTTTCCAGCCCCTCCCGGGCAGGGAAGGGATGGAGACGTGGCTGCTGGAGGCAGAGGGTGAGGAAATGCTGTGGGAGGCAGGAGGATAATCCCAGAAAGAGTCACTGGATCATGGATGGAGTGGGTCGGCTTGAAAGGAGCCTTGAAGCTCTCCCAAGCCCCTGCTCGGTGGGAAACTGGGAAGCAGAACCCAAAGGCACCAGGAGAAGAGCTGGGAAGGGGAAAAGCCTCATCCAGAACCTCCAGTGCTTTTCTAGGTGTTTTTCCTTTTTCCTGATGATCTGGGCAGGCCCAGGAGACAGAAAGGTAAAAAGTCTCATCCAGAACCTCGATTTTCCAGGGGTTTTTCCTTTTCCCTGGTGACCAGGGCAGGCCCAGGAACTGGGAAGGGTTCCTACCCAAAGTTTGGGGAAACCTTTCCCTGCTCTGGACGGGATTTCTCGGGATGCCCGTGGGGTCACGGCTCCGCGGAGCCACAGCTGAGCCCCCGCCGAACATTCCAGCGAGTTTTGCGCCTGGAACTCCATCCCCGGCTCCGTTCAGCTGGAAGCGGCTCGTTAACACCTCTCCCCACATCCTTTCCCATGGAGCGAGGCGCAGCTGCTCCAGCTCGGGTCGGGCGAGGAGGAATCTCCGATTTTCCCCCCACCGAACGCCTCCCAGCTCTCCTTCCCACACCACACCCCGACCATTCCATGACTCCCGGGAATTGCCGGCCGCCTTTATCGCATCCCTTTGGACTTTCACCTCTGGGCAGCCGCGCACTTTGCTCTTTCCTTGCACCTTCAAAGGGATAAGGGCAAATTTAGAAGCCTCTGGAAAAGCCCCCGGGAGCCTTTGGAGGGGAATAACCTGGAAGGGATGAGCTGGGGAAGAAATGGAAGAAACTCGTGCCAGGGTGGTCCCAGAAGTTCAAAATGCAGCGCCAGAAGTTTCTACACCAAAACCACGAGAAACCTCCCCGTGGAAACACTCAGGGTGGAAGATAACAGAACAGCCAGCCCCCCAAAAAACCCGGCTCAGAACCAGTGGCAGCAATTTGGGATGGAACAGAGCCGGGCATCTCCCGAATCCACCTGCACGGAGCTGTGGCATCCCTCGGGAGGATTTGGGATTTCTGGAGCAGCACCAGCCGGCCGCTGCCCCCCACACGAGCAGGTGGCAGAGGTGGCTCCGGGCGCTGAGGTGACGCCGTGGTGACATTCCCGGCTGCCACTCCAGCGTCCCCGGGGACGTGTTTGCGCTGCTGCCGTCGCTCCAAACCCGCTGGGAAGGAGCTGCTGTGCTCTCAGCACAGCCTCGCTGGGTGCCGCGGCGATAAAGGGAATTTGCCGGATCTCGGGGAGGGGGGATCCGGGCCGGGGGCTGCCCCAGGGAGGGATTTGGTTGCAGGCAGGCGACAGCCAGGCTTTCATCTGCTCTTGCGAGCCTCCTTCAGACAGAAGAGGAGGGGCAGGGCTGTGGGGGATGGAGGAGGATTGCTGTAACATGATTTTATGTCTGTGATTGCATAACGAAACCTCCTGGGAACCTCCTGATTCAGATGGATCCCTCGTTGTGCCCGGGCGGTGGAGGGCTCTCAGACTGATCGATTGCCCACGCTGCGGCGCGCAGGAATTGCTGGACTGGATCGGTACCAGGCTCCGAGCAGCCTGTGCTCCTTTATCGAACCGCGCCTGAGCCATCAGGAAGCTGTAAAAAAGCCTCCAGGAGCCGATAATCTGCTTTTTTTTATACCCCCAGCGCACGCAGCCACAGGCTCTGCTCTCACACAGAAGCTGCAGCCCGGTTGTTAATGGGAGCAGACCTTGAAGGATGGAATTGCATTTCTGTTCTAAAATAATAATAAAAAAAAAGAGATAAAAAATTTAAAAATGCCTGTTTCGTGTCGTTGGATGCTCTGCGAATATCAGAAATATCAGCTCGTTCTCTGGTGCCACCCGGCTCACCCCCCCTGCCCACCCACCAGGACAATCCCCAGGGTCTCGGGAAGGGGGGGTCGGGGCAATCAGGACCCCACAGACCCCCAGGCGAGGTGGGCGATGCCTCTGGCACTCCCACCTCATCTCCTGGCGTTTCTCCTGCGGATTCCAGGGCAGCCCCACCTCACAAATTTGGGGCAGAGAGCACAAAGCTTCGCCTCGCACCCCGAGCGTTTCCCTCCTAATGGCCTTTTCTCCGCACCGCGGCCCTTTTTAATTGGTGACAATTGGAAGTGGCTCATTCTCCGTGTGCGAGAGGCTGCGATTGCTTCCACTTGGCCACGATTCAAGTGCCGGGGGTGAGGCAGAATGGGTGGCAAAACTGTCTTTTCCTCAGTTCAACCCCCCCTCTTTCCCACCCCCGCTCAGCGGCAAAGAAAAAGCCACAACCCCGAGTTATTCTCTTTTATGAGGTGGGCATTGTGAGGCCAGGCAATTGAATTTACAACAGCATTGAGTATCAGAGTCTATCTGGCCTTGTCAATGAGAGCGCCGGGGAAAAAAAAAAAAAAAAAAAAAAAAAAAAAAAAAAAAAAAAATTA